TTCTGACAGAAATTATGCATTGCTCCTTACTGATAGAGGCAATGGTGTGTATGAAAAATGAGCAAAAATCCATGCCTCAGTCTAGTTTGACTCAAACTAGTCAAATTCTTCATTTTGAGTTCTGATTAAATTCAATACTGTTCTGGGATCCACAAGAGAGGTAAAATAAAAATCATATCTCATTCCTTTAAAAGATTAGAAGTTAATTAAACATCCGGCATCAAAATCAGTGATCAAGAATAAGGATAAGGATGATTAGAATGCAGTGAAATGGAAACATCAACATTGCCATTATCTACAGAATCAGTAGACATGCCCCATGTGTGATTTACCTGCTTGTTTTCTCCTTTTCCTCTCAATATAATTGCATTTGATTAAATAAGGTTTGTAAGCGGTCAATGACATTTCAGAGGCATCTATTCAAGATACTTGTCCAGGATGTGCACAAATCATACATACTTGGATCTCCAGCTGTGTATTGAGTCAAACTAATGCTATTCCCCGCAAATCTCACAATGGTATGTATGTCATCATGACCAAAGACAAATCTTCTATTATACCAACACTGTATCTGTGAGCACGCAGGAAGGAAGGAAGGCACTTTCCTTGCTTCCTGGCACTACATATGGTCCCTTGAGCATTGCCAGGAGTTTTTCCTGAACACAGAATCAGAAAGAGCTTCTGAGCACTGCCAGGTAAGGTCCCCACACTAGAATAAGTAAAACAGCTTGGGCTTTCCTTTATTTTTTAAAAAAACTTGGTAGTCATATGTTGTATTTTAAGTTTTGAATTTAGAGCACTCCATCTTTTTTCTTTCAAACTTAATGGAATTCTTATTATCTCCATCACATCTCTTATCCCAAAATGATCACTTGATCACTTGATCCCCCGTTATTCATCGATTTACTTGAGCGGGTGCCAGTAACATCTCCATTCATCCCTGTTGCGTGCTAGCATAGCCCAATGGCATCTGTTCATTCTAGGAACATGCAGAGCCTCAAACAGATCATTCAGGGTCTTGACGAAGAAGTCTGACCATCTTGTAGGTGGGCGTCTACACGATCTTTTGACGTCCCGTGGAATCCAGTCAGTAATGGCTCTAGTCCAGCGGTTGTCTGTAAACCTCATTATGTGTCCAGCCCATCTGATTTTTGATGCCTTGGCAAATGAGACAGCGTCCCGGATTCTTGAGCATTGATGGAGATCAGAACTTCGGATTCTATCTCTCATTTGAGTAAGGTAAAAAGGTAAAGGTAAAGGCCCTCCCGTTGATCGTCGATTTGCTCGAGCGGGCCCAGTAACGTCTCCATTGGAGACTTTGTTGTTACTGTGTCTGGCATATCGAATACTCTCGGTAGCTTGCCGGGCTCTCCAAGAGGGGCGGAGGAATCGAACTCGGGTCGGCCATGTTGGCCGCTTGTAAGGCGAACACCCTACCCGCTGTGCTATTGCTCCAGCCCAGTTGGTGGAGCGATTTGTCTGGTTAATTCCGATAACGAACGAGACTCATTTGAGTGAATTGTGATATTCCAAGCATAGCTCTTTTGATTCCTCTTTGAGAGACCCGAATAGTGTTCTCATCCTGTTTTCGGAGGGCCCAGGTCCCTGCGGCATATGTTAATGCAGGAAGAACAGTGGAATCAAAGAGATGTGCTCGTAGTTGGAGGTTCTTTGTCCTCTTAGTTATATCTTCAACACTCTTGAAGGCATTCCAAGCCGCTCTCTTCCTCCTGCGCAACTCAGGTGCCAGGTCATTCATCATGTTGATTTCTCGACCTAGGTATATATAACTGTTGCATTTGGAGATGGTGGTTCTGTTGAGAGTGAATGGAGCGTTAGGAACGAGGCTTTTTCTCATAAACATTGTCTTCGTAAGATTCAGCTGTAGTCTGACCTTTGCACACTCATGGTTGAAGTCGGCTAGCATTTGTGCCGCTTGGCTGATGTTTGGTGTTATTAGAACGATGTCATCAGCAAAGCGGAGGTGGTGTAGTTGCCTACCATCTATCTTCACTCCCATTCTTTCCCATTCCAGTCATCGCATGATGTTCTCGAGGGTGGCACTGAAGAGTTTTGGTGAAATGATATCACCCTGCCGAACCTCTCTCTTGACATGGATGATTCCTTCTTTGTAGAATGGTGAGATCCTGGTAGTGAATCCGCAATAGAGCTCACGAAGGATCCTGATGTATTGAGTTTGTATGCCCTGATTGGCTAGGGCTTCTATGACCGCTTCTGTCTCAACAGAATCAAAGGCCTTCTTTAAATCAATGAACGTTAGACAGAGTGGCATCTTGAACTCCTGAGAAACCTCAATGAGCTTAGTAATCGTGTGGACATGGTCGATGGTACTGAATCCTTTTCGGAATCCAGCTTGTTCACATGGTTGTCCTTCATCTAGTGTTCTGCTAATCCTATTCAGGATGACTTGAATGAACAGTTTGTAGATGACAGACAATAGGCAGATTGAGTGATAGTTCCCAATGTCGTGTATGTCTCCCTTCTTGTATAGTAGTACAGTCCTGCTGGTTTTCCATTGGGATGGAACCTTGCATTCAGACAGGTAGCGTGTGAAGAGCTGAGCCAGTGTATTGATGAGTACAGATGGTGAGTTCTTCAGGTGTTCAGGTTTGATCTTATCTGGGCCAGGTGCTCTTTGTTTCTTTACCAATGAGATGGTTTGTTGGATTTCGGAAGGGAGGACATTGGGAATGACATATCCATCATGCGGAATGTGGTATGTGGGCAAGTGGACGTGGATATTAAAGAGATCTGAGTAGAAGTCATAAATAATCTTCCCCATTGCCCTTCTGGAAGGTGTGATAGATCCATCAGAATGTCGGAGGGCAGTCATCTTGGTCTTGTAGTTGGTGAAGGACAGGCGGGCATTACGAATGCTTTTCCCAGCTTCTGCCGCATCTACCAGCACCGCTGCTCTCCTGTTTTTGAGGTCATCCTTGATGGCTTCTCTGCATTGTTTGGCCAGCTCGGACGTTCGCTTGCGGTTGCCTGAGGCATGTGCCAGGCCACGTTGGCGAATAAGTTCAAGAGTGTTCGAAGAAAGGCGGTTTTTTATGGTTATCTCTCTCGGCATTCCTCGCACAACCATGGAGGTGCTGAATCATTCGATCGTATTCCTCATCAATGTTGTCAATGACGGCATCTTCCCATATTGCCACAACAGAGCCAAAGAGCTCCCAGTTGGTGGTCGTTCTGGGAGTTCTCTTCTTAAACTTTGCATTCTTTTCTCCTCGTTCTGTGAGGTAGAATTTTGCATGAAGGAGATGGTGGTCCGATCCCGTTTGGAATTTTGGGACAACAGAGCAACATCGGTTAGGCAAAACCACTGATTGAATATGATGTGGTCTATTTCATTGTGGAAGCGTTCACCGGGAGACTCCCATATCCAAAATGATAACATTGATTATATTTTGCCCGTATACTTAAACTGTATATAGTGATAACTTCACTCTTTTAAGTAGATATTTAGCAAATATATTTTCCTAGTGAATTTTTTAATGATAAATCATTCATTTCATGACACAAGTATAAGAGCAAAGGAATATTTTTGGTAGGTGTCCATATATATATTTATGTATTTATCAGTTTCTTAAAACACATCCTTCACACCCTACCAAGGCCATGAGTTGCCTCCCATGAGCGGCTCTCCAGCACAGCCATAGGCCCAGAGGCACACAAACCAATCTCTTAATTATTTGGCTTTAGGCACAAATCCCTCCAGACATAATTAGTAAGATATCAGAAATCCAAAATCACATGGCTACTATCAGGGCCACACAACATCATATGGTCTATATAACCAGCAATAGAAAACAAATTATTTCACAGTGTCTTTTCAGCAGCTTTGATTGTTGGGAGGAAATTCCAAATAATAAAGGTGCATCTTTTGTCAAAATAATGAATGTAATCAAAGCAGAGAGAGAGTTAAGTAGAAATCATCTGCCTCACAGGCATCGGGAGGGGTGGGAATGGGGGTATATTGGGGCTCTTGGTGGTGGAAAATATGCACTGGTGAAGGGATGGATGTGTGATCTTTGTATGACCAAGACTTTAACCTGAAAACTTCGTAACTTTTCTCACAGGGATTCAATAAATAAATTAAAAACATAATTATTCAGAAGTATTGTTAGTGAAAGTAGAAGGAGCCTGGGAGGTGGTAGTCTCAATAGAGACAGTGCTTTGGACTTTCTACTTTAATCACCAGTGAAGTGTCAAGGGGGATTGGTACTGGTGATACAACAAACTGACTAGCTCCTGAGTTGGTTCTCGGGGAACCATGCATACAATTGGCACACAAAATCTCAGATTCTGTATATAGTTTCTCTACATAGTATCTTAATTTTTCAGCTTCAGTTAGGTTGATTCTGCCATTGGCTTAGTCGCCAGTATAAATGTCTCATCTATGAAGTTCTGGTCTCTCCTTGCCATGTTCAAGGTCTCAGTCTCAGGTCAGTGCATCCCGGTGGCCTGCCTTCCCCAGCTGTTTGTCCCTTTGGCTTTTCCCTTGTTCTCTAGTCCTGCACCTGTTTTGTGAGAACTGCTGCTTCTCTGCTGCCCATGCAGAGCTGAGGGCACAGAAAGGAAGTTCCTTTCCCCAGGGCCATTTTTTTTTTTTTGCCTGAGCTATCTCCACCCTGAGCGCTTGCTCAGGAAAGTGAGGTTTTAAATAACCAACCGAGTGAACTTAAGGACCTGGCGTCCCTGTCAGCACTCCACTGCTTCTGTAACACTGGGAGGAAGTCTGCCACAAGCAACTGTGTGGCATGTCACTTGGGGTCACATGATTCCAGGAAGGTGTCTACACCTGAGGTCCTCAATCTCCACGGGCACGGGAACAGGTTCCCACTACCTGAGTTTTGGGGGAACCAAGGCCTCATGCTGGGACAAGGATTTGTTTTCTGCCAGAAGGAAAGTCAGACCTGACTTCTTCCCAGGGCACCCAACTTCATCATTTAGGAAAGAATTTCAGGAATCTGCAAGTTGATTAAAAATCACTGTGGCTTTGACTTTCACTGTGGTTAAGCTGGGCTGCCCAGGGCCAGTGAGACCACAGCTCAGTGCTCACTCTCCAGTGTGTGGAGGTCAAACCCAGGCCCTGACATGCTCCAGCACTGCCTAGGACCTCTGACCCCAGGTTTCTCTTCCTCTGCATGATGCCTGAAATTCTCAAGCCTCAGACAAGTTGCTGGAGCCATGGAGGAAAGGCAAAAGGGATAGCTTCCCATCAACAAAAAGTTGTTGAGAAAGTGGAAACCAAAAAAAAAAAAAACCACTCTGGGGACACAAATAGTAAAGTAGCTTTATTAAGAAAATATGAGTGAGAAGACATAGAGAAGAGGAAATTCCAGAAAATAAAGCAATGATATATTGCAAGTGGGGATGTGGGCTGCTTGAAAGTGGAATGTTTTGATCCATCAAGTATTGCTTGGTGTTTAAAATTTGGTGTTAGTGGGTTTCCACAAATTGCCTCAGCTTGGGGTTTCTATGCCAATAAGAGGTGGTGGCTAGAGCATTGTTAAAGGAAAAACCTTTGACCTTTTAGTGGATGATGGCATTTGGTCCTGGTTGGTTTCCCCTGTCCTGGGGGATTCTGCCTTCTCTGGGTTGGCGCTAGTATCATTCAGGTCTTAGCAGGCCTCAGTTCCAAAGGGAGTCCAGTCTTCACACTCTAGGGCTTTCAAATGACCTGGTAATAGAACAAATAATTTTATTAGCTCTTACTTTGGTTTTTGTATTTCCATATCATTATCCTGAGCCTCCCCTCCGACTCCTTGCCAACTGCTGAAATGTACGTTGTCATAGAGTTGGGGAGGACTGGAGTGATAGCACAGTGGTAGGGCATTGCCTTGCACACAGCCAGCCAGGCCTAGCCAGATTCAATTCCTCCGCCCCTCTCAGAGAGCCCGGCAAGCTACTGAGAGTATCTCGCCCGCACGGCAAAGCCTGGCAAGCTATCCATGACGTATTCAATATGCCAAACACAGTAACAACAAGTCTCATGATGGAGATGTTACTGGGCCCGCTGGAGCAAATCGATGAACAACGGGAGAATAGGACAGGACAGTGCCATAGAGTTGGGAACCTGTTATACCCTCAAGACTTTGTTGGATATTAGCCTTAAGTGCTTTACGCTTCATAGTGAATTACACCAGAGAAACTTATAGTACTCATTTTTTTTTGTTTTTTTTTTTGGGGGGGGGTCACACCTGGTGAGTCTGTGCTATCGCTATGGGTAGGGCATTTGTCTTGCAATGTGGCCGACCCGGGTTCGATTCCTCCATCTCTCTTGGAGAGCATAGCAAGCTACTGAGAGTATCCCGCCCCCACAGCAGAGCCTGGCAAACTCCCCATGGCGTATTCAATAAGCCAAAAACAGTAACAACAAGTCTCACAATAGAGATATTACTGATGCCCACTCGAACAAATCGATGAACAATGGGAGGACAGTGCTACAGTGAAGTTCTAGCTGGCGAGGCACAGGGGTTACTCCTGGCTCTACACTCAGGAATTACCCTGGCATCAAAATGGGACAATGTAGAAAGCATAAAAGTATGGTCTTGGTGCAAGCCATTATGACGTAAGAGACAGGACCCCCCAAGGGGAACAACAAGCTGAACTGGCCTGAGGATTTAGTGTGGGGTTTATGGTCAAATCTTTGCTTGCCCTCTGAACCCAGACAACTAAGTTTTGGAACCTATATCTTGTACTGTGTTTATACAAATAACTGAAAGTATTAATAAGAAGCAAATGTAATTGTTTAATATGTACAACCAAAGGGAAAGAGAAAAGCAGTATAGATATACCTGGGAGACAGAACATCACCTTGAGTTAATCTTCCTAGGAGAATTGCCTCTGCCAAAACTCTTTAGCTCTGTAAATGATCAATCACATCTACATGCAGTCCTATACTTTGAACCCCTTCAGGTGTTCTATAAGTATGCTAGCAGCTCTGCATTTAATGGACCATTTTGACTATCTATCCATGAGTACCCCTTCAATTTGTCCCTCTGCTGGGGAGGCTGGGAAGGTGGTTCTCAGCCACTGAATGCATGCATCACACACCCACATTTTGAACTCACAGACTTGAGGATGAATTACTAATTAGATGAATTACTAATTAGGGTGATGCTAATCATATCACAGTGGCCTTAAATCTCAGCTTAAGAAGTTACCATTTCTGGGGTCCACATTGATTAAATATCATGTGTTTCATGAAAGAAATTTAAACAATAGCCAGAGTTTCACTAGTTCATATAATAAGAAAATTTATAATTTTTATTTTTGTATTTTTTTATCATGATTACATTTTAGGTAGCATGGGTACAATCACGATCATGACCATCCTGTTGTTTGTCGATTGCCTCAAGCAGGCCCCAGTAATGTCTCCTTCGTCCAAGCCCTGAGATTTTTAAAAATGTGCCATATTCAAGGCTCTTTCAGGGTTAGGAGAATGAGACCCATCATTGTTACTAGTATTTGGCATATTGGGTATGCCACGGGGAGTTTGCCAGACTCTGCCGTGTGGGCAGGTTACATTCGGTAGCCTGCCAGGTTGTCCAAAGTAAGGATGAGATAATAGGATCTCTCATAATAAGTGTGCATTTGCGGCCACGCGCTTTCGGGAGCTGTTTTTTTATTATTAAAAATTTTTTTAATAGTGAGACATCATGAGGTACAGTTGCAGACTTACACATTTTTGTGCTTGGGTTTCAATTATACAATGATCAAATACCCATCCCTCCACCAGTGCCCATTTCCCACCACCGCGGATCCCGGTATCCCTCCCACCCCCCATCGCCTCCATCCCACCCTGTCTCTGTGGCAGGGCATTCCCCTCTGTTCTCATGGGTACAATAGTGTTAATTTTTTTTGTCTTGATGTGCAAGGCTACTGTAAATTTACCATCACCAAAGAGGCCAAGACCCCACAAATGAAGACAATCATTCTATATCTGTCCTTCTCCCTCTGACTCATTTCACTCAGCATGAGGCTGTTCATGTCCATTCATTTATATGCGAATTTCACGACTTCATTTTTCCTTGTGGCTGCATAGAATTCCATGGGTAGATGTTCCATTTTCTTTACCCAGTCATGTTTTCTCAGACACTTGGATTGTTTCCAGATTCTGGCTATGGTGAATAATGCCACAATGAACATAGAAGTACACATGGCATTTCTGCACTTTGATTTTGGTCCTTGGGTTATATTCCCAGAAGTGGTATTGCTGATCAAAAACACCACCAACATAGTATGAAACTAATACCCAAGGACAGTGGAAACAGGGCCAGGATGAATGACCCATTTTTGGAAGCTTGCCATACATGGTGGTGGGGGAGGGCAGCTAGGATAGAGAAGGGACCATTATGCCAATAACCTCCACACTTCACAATTGCTGCAGTGCTCCCAGCCTGGACTCTAATGCTCATATGAGCTTCATCCAGAAATTAATCTGTTGAAAAACTCACTTACGTGGGTTTTGTGACTAAAATCTCCATCTTTTATGGAGGGAGGATGGGCTATCCCCACCTCCCAGTATTTCCGGAAGCCCCAGCAATCAGTCATGTGCATGCCCCAAGTCTGCCACCCCGTTAAAAATTTAGCACCAGATGTATCACCCTGTTAAAAACGTGGCTGCATTTGTGCCATCATGACACCTCAAACTCTACCCGCTAATGAACCAGGAGTGGCAAATTAGATTTGATGAGATGTAATGGAGAAAGCAAACAGTCTCAGTTAACAAAATATAAATGCAGAAGGCTTTAACCTGTAACAACAGCTTATGATCTTTTATACAAGGGCTTACTGTCTCCATGATGAGATATAACACTGTTTGCTTTCTCATAAGGAAACATTTTTTGCTCATTATTTTAGCAAATTATTTATAAAAAGCACTGTAGCACTGTAACACTGTCCTCCCATTGTTCATTGATTTGCTCAAGCGGGCCTAGTTACATCTCCATCATGAGACTTGTTGTTACTGTGTTTGGCATATTGAATACCTCACGGTTAGCTTGCCAAGCTTTACCGTGTGGGCAAGATACTCTTGGTAGCTTGCCAGGCTCTCTGAGAAAGGTAGAGGAATTGAACCTGGGTCGGCCGGGCCAGTCACATGCAAGGCAAACACCCTACTACTATGCTATCACTCCAGCCCTATAAGAAGCAATATAAGATAAGTTATTGATGGATTGCTATGGAGGTAGGCTTAAGGGGTGGTTGGGAAAATTGGAAATAATAGTGATGTGAAGGTGCAATGGTGCTCAGAATGGTGTTGGCATATTGAATATTTGTAACAAATTATCATGAACAACTCTGTAGACCACAGTTTTTATATACATGTAAGAGGAAAATAAAATCTCAATGAAAAATGAGAGAGAGAGAAAGAGAGAGAGAGAGAGAATAAGAGAGACAGACAGGCAGACAGACAGAAAGAAGAAAAGTGCCTGCCATAGACATAGGATGGGGGGCAGGAGGAGGGAGGGAAACTGGGGACATTGGTGGTGGAAAATGTACACCGGTGAAGGAATATTGTATGAATGAAACCCAATCATGAACAACTTTGTAAACTGTGTCTCTCACAGTGATTCATTTAAAAAAAAGAGATCCAGATATTGACACATTCATTTGTGGTATATAATATGTATGTAATATATATATATACAATATAATATATAAAATATATATATTTTTGGAAAATTCTATTTTTTAAAAAAATAAGCTGTTTGTATTGATGTCGGTCTCTTTCAGGTTTTATGATGGTTTACAGTGTGCATTTGAATGTCTGTGTCCCAAGTAGTTTTCTTGCTTAAGTATGGAAACACAAAATGTAATCATCTTTTTTTCTTTTTTTTTTTTTTTGTTCTTTTTGGGCTGGGCTGGAGCAATAGCACAGTGGTAGGGCATTTGTTTGCCTTGCATGCAGTCGGCCTGGCGAGCCAGGTTTGATTCTTCCACCCCTCTCGGAGAGCCCGGCAAGCTACCGAGAGTATCTCACCCGCAAGGCAAAGCCTGGCAAGCTACCCGTGACATATTGAATATGCCAAACCACAGTAACAACAAGTCTCACGATGGAGACGTTATTGGGCCTGCTCAAGCAAATTGATGAAC